TTAGGGTTTAGGACTTAGGGGTTTAGGGTTTAGGGAAGCTATATGCAAAATTTCAGAAAGTTGTCTCGTACCAAGTTGTGCCTGAAGCTTGGAGCCGCGAAGTAGCCGGTCTCGCATCTCAGTCATGAGTACTGTCTTGTGGGTCAAGCTGGGCAGTAAGGGCAGCAGCCGAGTCCCTTGTGAAAAAGGGTTTATAGGGCTTAGGGGTTTAAGGCTTTGGTTTTCGGGTTTGGGGTTTAGGGTTTAAGGGCTTAGGGTTCTGCTTGGGCCCGGGACAAGAACTGCAGCTTGGGATGCTTGAACCCAGACCCCCAAAAGGATCTAAACAATAGATCCCCTAAGGGGTTTCCTATAAAGTACCCTTTAGTAGTTAGGGCCCCTAATTAGGGGATCTATTTTTTAGATCCCTTTGGGGGTCTGGGAATCTGCTGGAAGAGGAAGTCACAACCTGACGCAAACTCAAGCCATGCCTTTTCCTCAGCTCAGGCCGAGAACCAAGCCCTAAACCCTGAACCCGTAAACCCCTGAACCCCTGAACCCTAAACCCTAAGCCATACACCCTCAACCCCAAACCCTAATTAAGCCCTAAACCCTCAGAGCGGACTTGATGGAAGCCGCGAACCCTGAGCCCGAACACCCAAAACCATGAGCCGGTGTTGTGGGATGGATGCCGCAAATCAGATACCACCTGAAGTGCAGAGAGCTTCAGTGACGATTTCAGAAATGGGGCCGGTGTGCGAATGTTCGAAAGTTGACCCCAGTGAGCCGTGTCAGAGAGCAGTCATGACACACACACACACACACACACGGACAGACAGACACCGCGCAGCCCTCGAGCCGAAAGACCTCCTATCCAGGCTTCAGAGTTTACTGTAGGGCTCTGTTCTCTAGATGCTCGCATCCTTCGGCTTGAAGGCTTATGGCTCAGAGTCCAGCAAGCAGCACTTCCCTCTCTGGATAATATAGGGACCTTAATAATTACCTATACGATTTTGAGTGGGGGGCTCCGGAAACTCGGGCACTAGCAGAGGTTCTGTCTCGCTTTCTCGGGGTTGTAAGAGGATTTTTGCTAAGGAGATCAATGCAAGGTACCTGCAAGTAGGAGGGATAATCCAAGTAAGTGCTTGCTCTTCTTACTGAGGTAACTAAGACTGAAAAACCCTAAATCTTAAACCTCCGGTCAGATACTTGAAACCACTTCAGGTGAGAATGGCTGGCCCCCCTCCGCCGGGGACGAGGCAGAAAGCCAGGAGAAGTTTATTGACGACCTGCAGGCCATCAGAAGTCTTGACAGTTCTTCGGTGCTTTATACGAGTTTTACAAAGGGTTTGATGAGGGTGTCTATAAGGGCGTTTAACAAGTGTTACGCGGTTTTCGGGTCTTATAAGAAGGTTTTCATGCAGATCTGAAAGGGGTGTATAGGGGGTACTGTTAGTGGTCTATAGGGGCACTATAGGTGTTATATGAGTTTTATGCGAGGCTTCTGGACGAATTCCGCAAGCACCTGTTAGCTGACCATGTAAGCTTCGATCGTTTTGGGTACGTGTGATGTTTTCGTATATATACATAATCACTATGTACTAGCTGCTGAATTTGTTTCGCATCCAAGCGCAAATACGTGTTCTACGCTCTAGGGGTCCACGGAGTTCTACAGGAATGGAGAAGCCATGCCAATAACAAGTGTTAGGTTTTGGGTAGGAGTTTGACAAGGGCAATTATTTAATGCTAGACAAGTACACCATTCATCGGACGTCGGGTTTCCGGAAGTATACGTGTCCCAATATCCTCACATGACACCTGGAAACCCTGAACTTTCAAGCTGCTGGCTGGTCAAGCTACAGTCTGAGGCCATAAGGATCCCTACATACTTGGTGGGCATCCGGGTTTTGCGCCCTAATGTTTAGTGCAGAGCTTGTTGGATGCCGGGCTTTAGGCAGCCACAAAGGGTGTAGACTGTAGGCCCAAAGTAGTCACCCTAAACGCTAAACCCTAAACCCTAACCCCCTAATAAACCCTAAACCCAAAACCCTAAACCCTAAATCCAAAACCCTAAACCCTAAACCCTAAATCCTAAACCCTCAACCCTAAACCCTAAATTCTGAGGACTTACCCGGCCCAAGTGGTTCTCGGGTTGTGCATGAGAGCCTCTTCGGCCGACAAGGCAAGTTCCGGACATCTGATACACCAGAATCGCAATCTCTCTCCCTCACCCTCAAAGGACTGATATTTGAAGGCTTTTGGGTCCAAGGGCCCTATTATACAAGGCTTTTGGGCTGTTTTGATGCTAAGGGTTTTGGCAGGACCGGAAGACGGAAATCTACCGCGGCTATGTGACGCCAGAGGCTTACCACTCATTCAGCTTGACCCCGAAGCCGGAATAAAGGACACCACTCGGATGTAGAGGAATTAGTTACTAGTAATCACCCACACTTGCATCCTGCAGAAATAGGTGTCTTGAACATCCAGTACATTGTGATTTGTTTTTCCTATTTCTGCTCTTACCTTGTTTTGCTTGCACAGATGTTGCTACCTTCCCATCGTGCTGTTGGTCTTCTTTATATAATCGCTTCCCCTATTATTAAACCCCCCCTAATATAAAAACTACCGGGCCCCGGAATTTCGCAGTTTCGGGCCCACAATTGAAAGTTAATTGAAAAAATTAGGGCGGGCCTAGGGATTGTATGAGTTTTAATGGTGCCAAGACTACAGTAGTACTAAACCAAAAGGACCAGAGCTTTAGGGTTTAGGGGTTAAGGCTCAGGGCTTAAGGCAGGCTGACTGCCCGCTCTACAGCCGGAACGGCTGCGTAGCAATCGGTCGTTGTGTCTGACTGTTTGGTTTCGGGCTTAAGGCTTTAGGGCTTAGGGGTTAAGGCCTGTAGGGCTCTTAAGGCTCAGGGCTACAGTCTGCAGTAATCCGACTCATACCCGGATGCGCCGGAAACCCCCCCTAATATAAAAAACTAAACCACCGGATTTGAGTTTTTATATTAGGGAGGGGGGGTGTTTTAATATTAGGGGGAAGGGATTTTTTGTATGTATACATATATATTATATATATGTATATATTTAAACATGTGCCTTCACATGGACCGCTTTCCCCTGCCCGTGGCAGCATCGCGATACTCGCTCGTTGAAACGGGCACGTAGACGTGGACAGGGTACTGCAAACAGTTTCTTAACAAGGAATCAAATATTCGGAAGAGAAACTGCCGCATGCCAGACCAGCTACAGGCACAGCTAAACATGTGTCCAAGACTAACCATGCCGCCGGAAGCAGCAAGCAGCTCGCCCTTTCCAAAGCATCGACCGTGTAGGAAGCTTCACGTGCCCTCACAAACCTTCGCCAGGAGTTTGTACAGGGTGTAGGCTTTAGGGCCTACATTACACCATCAAAGGTGTGCACACAGCTACAGCTTGCCACTTTCCGCGGAACAGGCCTGACTTGGGGTTGTTCCAAATATGTCCTACAACAGCGTCGCCATCGACACGAGAATAAAGTGGACACGCTGCATCCTGACCCAAACCTCCAGGAATCTGTCTGTAATGGCATATTTGCTATGAGTACACGGCCTAAAACTTCTGGCATTAAAGGGTGGTTTCTGCAGGGTCCAGGCACTGATATTTCTAAGAGCTCCCTTTCGTTTGCCTCCGTATTGCTAGATACTGAAAACTGACCAGGCAAGCCCAGGACTCAGAAATGCCGGAGGCGAAAAAGCGCAACTCTCTGTGGCCGTTCTAAGATGCTCTGAAGTACTTGTGGTATATGAAGATGCCCCAAACCCGAAACCCTCATACTGTAGCCAGTGTTGGATTGCAGGTGAACTTCTGCCACAAAGAAGCCCAATACCGTCATACTTGCCTGGCTGCATTACCCTTTACCCTATACCCCAAACCCCAAACCCTAAACCCCAAACCCTGAACCCTAGACCCCAAACCCAACACCCCAAACCCCTAACCCCTAAACCCTAAACCCCAAACCCTAGACCCGAAACCCCTTCACCCCAAACGGGGACCTTCCAGACTCGAAGCCTGCAAACCCTACGCTGTAGATCCCAAAGCCGCATAAATCCTATTAGCCCAGCCCAAAGACCCAAAACACCCTAAAGTCTAAACCCTAAACCCTAAACCCTAAGGTCCTTTGTAGTATAAGCATTACTAGTCCAACCCAAAGACCCAAAAAACCTAAGGTCCTTTCTAGTATAAGTATAAGAAGGAACCCCCCCCAAAAAAATAGTATAGGTAATAACCAGGCCCCTATATTCAGCCCAATTAAAGTCCGACCGAAACCCGTAAACCCTAAACCCTTAACCCTCAAACCCTAAACCCTAAAACCCTGAACCCCTAAACCCTATAGTACCCTATAGATCCCTTCAAGGGGTAGCCTTCTAGATCCCTTTACAGGAACCCTAGAACCCCGAAGCCGATTCATCCCCCGAGGTCCGGCAAAGCCTCCGCGCGTCCCGGCATCCTCGAGCTGATCCAGGAAGGGCTGAAGCGAGAAGACCTGAAGATCTCCGGCCTTATTTTAAGGGTTTAGGGGTCTGCACTAAGGCTTCGGGTTCTTTCCTTGAAGGAAGATCTCCGGCCTTCGTTTAAGGGTTTAGTGTTTACGGGTTTAGGGGTTTAGGGTTTAGGGGCTTCTTTTAAGTTCCATAGGGGTTCAGGGGTCTGCACTAAGGCTTCGGTTCTTTCTCACAGGGACCTTGAACGAAGGCCGGAGGTTTGGGGGTTTTAGGGTTTAGGGGCTTAGGATCTCCGGCCTTCGTTTAAGGGTTTAGTGTTTAGGGGTTTAGGGGTTTAGGGTTTAGGGGTTTAGGGGCTTTAGGGTTTAGGGGTTTAGGGGTTTAGGGGTTTAGGGTTGGCTGAAGCGGGAAGGCCTGAAGATCTCCGGCCTTCTTTTAAGGGTTCCTTTCAGGGGGCTTGGTAAATTATGGGTTCCATAGGGGTTTAGGGGTCTGCACTAAGGCTTCGGGTTCTTTCTCAAAGGGACCTTGGAGGAAGATCTCCGCGGGTCCGGCCTCCTAAGGGTTCCTTTTAAGGGTTCTTTTGAAGGGTTTAGGGTTTAAGGGTTCTTTTGAAGGGTTCCTGCAAGGGGGTATGATTCAGGCTCCGAAAGGACGGTATGGGGACTGCTTCCAAGGGACTTTTGAAGGATTCATCACTGATGCTATGTAGCGGTTGCGAGCTCAGGGATTGAGGGTTTTGGAGGCGAAAAGGGTTTAGGGTTTAGGGTTTAGGACAGAGGACTTGGCACATAGGGTGTTTTGTAGTGGTGCACAGGGCTTTGAAATGCTTACCTGAAGACCTAGGAGACTTGGGAAGAAGGTCAGAGGTAACGTTTAAGTTAGGACGAGGGTATTTGTGAACTTCACAAGAGAGGCAAGGAATGTCGAAACATCATCATCATCCAACCCCAACAGGTGAGCCCAGCACAAGGCATCCGTCTTCAATGTTCCAACTTGTTTTTCTGTCAAGCACGAAAAGCAGCAATAAGGAGGAGGCACTTAGAGCGTCTATCAATTTCTTGATCCCGTGCTCGGGGTGCAGGGACATGGGGTTTCGGGATTTCGGAGGCCAAGGGCAAAGTTCGGGTTCACGGTTTCAATTAGAATAGGGCTCCTGTTAACGAGGCGCAGGGACTTTTGTGTATCGGTGTTTCTTGTGGGGTTCTGTAGGGTTCTAACGCAGTGGCCTCAAGAACTAAACTACTGATGCATGGTATCTTCTGCAATAAACCTACATGGGGGATTTTAGCGGAAGGCTATTTCATATGGCATATGAGGACTTGGCACGCAGGCTTCATCGGTGAACGTTTGCTTTTGTTTGGGGCCAGGGCAGTCAAAGCTCCGAAAGCTTCTCTGGAAAGACAAGCCCCCAAACCCTACGCCCACATTCGCCCTAGGAGCCCAATAGGTAAACCTTAAACTTTTTTTGGTATACTAAACCCCTACTAAAACAAAAGTTTAAACTGTTTTGGGCCAGGGTACTGGGCAGCTAAGTCTCAACAGCGTAAGGATGGCGATTTGCTCTGTGGCTCTGCCGGAAGCAGAAACTGTGTCGCCAGTACCACGGGGGTCATTCGTTCACTTGCACTAGTATTGCTCCTTCACACACACATACAGTATTTTCTAACAGACTGTCTGTAATAAAGTGTATATTTACATGTGCACATACATGTATGTATATGTGTGTACACTATATGTATTTATAACCTAGTGTAGACTATGTTATATGTCATACGACATTGTATGGTAGTGTCTTGTCTTGTATTGTATTGCAGTATATTCTACCCTAGCCCTAGTGAGTTGTAGGGTATTGTACTGGACTGCATATTTCATCATGGTGTGATATTCGAACCGCATGTTATGTCATACTGCATTGGGTTGTAAAATGCTGTCTTGTAGTATGTTATATGTACATATGCAGGCATGTATGTAGAATCTTCTAGACATCTAGTACAACCCAACATGTGTAAACAAATGTACATACACACATATGTATACCCACACACGCAGAGCGAAAGAAGAGTTGACAGTGCTGCCATGGCATCATCGTTCTGTTAGCACTGGTGTTGTGGTATAATGCGGTTTCTTCTAAACCTCAGGAAACAGATCTATTTTCTGCATGGTATTAAAATTGGGAGGCTTTTGGTAGTCCAGCAGGCAACCCTCCTCCAGTGTCCAGTTGCGGTTGGAGCTTTGCTTGCCCATGACCGGGACATGAGAGGATGTATTGGCCGGGGATTTTTGCGGCTTGAGGCTCGGAGCTTTGCCCTGCGAGTTGCAGGATGTAGCTTAGAAACTTCCACTCGCCCCTTGCTCAGCAAACCAAACGCATAAATGTGTAAATTGAAGCCCCAACTCTAAGTTTCAAACCCCTAGATCCCAAATCCTACCCCCCCCCCCCCCCCCCNNTAAACCCTATAGACCCTAAACCCCTGTCCTTGTTCGGTGTTGAGGCTGGGACCAAGGAAGCTGCGCAGCAGGTGCTCTCGGCGGTGGTGGGAGTAGGGACCTCAGAGACCGCAGAGGGCTCCTGAAGATTTCCTTAGGGTTTAGGACTTAGGGTGTAGGGGTTTAGGCTTTAGGGTTTTAATGGGTAATCCCTGATGTAAGTACACTAAAATATGCCCCACCGCCCTGTTCAGTTGTCACGGCCCCGACAGTTCATAAAGACCCTTATAGAAACCCCATACTGAGACTTCTCTTTAAAGGAAACCCAAGTCTGACTATTGGGGCACCCTTAAGGGCTTCTGTCTGGAGTGTGACCTGGCGAGGTTGTGCGTAATACGGAGGTCTCAAAAACTGTCGTCATTACCATTCTTATGATTATGGTTCCTTTACGACTATAATGTTAATGTTATTAGTGTTTTGTTGTTGTTTCTGCTGCCCCGTTACATGCCGCAACATCCTCATTATTCTAAATCAATCACCAAGGCCTCCTGTTTCGTAGCATTTAGCTCGGGATTGGCTAGTGCAATGGCCTTGCAATGCCAAGTAACGCACGGACAATCCCCGACTGCTTGCAGAGCTCCGCATCTGCAGCCTTATTGTGCTTGAACTGTTCCCTAAATGAGGGTCTTTTTGGGGGTTCCTTGTTTATGAAGGTGCCGCACTATGTGGGGACCTAAACAGGGACCCCAATGTAGAGAATTGCCGAAGATCCTGCTTCTTTTCAGGATAATCTCTTGAACGATTTCGACTTGATTTTGCTCGGCGACGATGTCAGCAGGACCGTCAGTGTAGCCTGCTACCGTGTTTTAGGATGTTAAGACCAGGCCAAAGAGGACGTAAGATCATACTTGTAGCTGGCACATCTGCGGGACGGACAAGTACACCCGCTTGAAGCATGCCTGTACGCTCGACGTCTGCTTGCTTCTTGCGCTCCAATATCCCACGATACCCTGGCATGGCCTTAAAAAAGTGGGAAAACAGTAATGAGAACAATAATAGCAATACTGCTTCATCTCCAGATCAGAATCATGGGCTGAATGAATTGGAAAACACCAGAGCTAGAAATCTCAAAGCCTGCAGGGCTTCGCCCCGCCTCTACCTGTCAGGAAGAAGCCGGATCCCTTGATCTATCAGCTGGCATCGGAACGTTCCGAACTCGGCTGCGGCGGGTGTCTTCGCAGTTGCTCTGGAAAGCTGTTTATGTAAACATCTTGCGTACATACCTTACAAAAATCCGGAAAATCTTAAAGCTTGATCTGCATTGGGGCCACGAGGAACCATAACGAAGGCTGTGATTTGTTATGTTCGCGATCACGGCGAGAAATGCTTTGGTATGGGTTTTGAGCCTTTCCTGAACTTGTGGCTTATAGGTTTCTCCTATTCTTGATCCGTTCCAGAACGAACCGTTATGGATAACTGGTCGGTCTGGATATGAAAGTTCCCGCAAACATGGGACCCTAATATAGTATCCTAAATGCAAGATCCCTTTATTATAAGGATCCCAAAATACGGCACCCCGTATTTTCGGAAACTCCCAATATGGGAGAAAAAGGGACGTCCTCCAGCGACGTAAACCAGCTCCGAATTTTGCTAAATAGATCTCAGGAGCGTGCATTCTACAGGGCCTGTGTGACTGCTACATTATTCCTTGGGCTTGCCCGATGTACTTATATGGGAGTTTCCGAAAATAAGGGGTACCTTATTTTGGGGTCCTTATAATAAGGATCCTATTATTTAGGGTACTATATTAGGGTCCCCTATTTTCGGAAACCCCCATATAGGTCCTTATTCCAGTTGTTGAGTCCTGTCTTTTAGATGTTGAGCGAAAGTTTTGGAGATCGCAGTGGCAAAAGAGGGCATCGTAACCCCAGTCCCATGCAGGTGCAGCAGTCGCAGCAAGTGGAAGCAGTAGCAAGCTTACTTCTTCATCTACCTTAAGAACCCAAAGCCCACTTTTTTTGTAGGTTCTTATTATAAACCCTAATATTGGATTTATAGGGACCCTACAAAAAAGTAGGTTTTGGGTTCTTAGGTGATTTGGTACTCTTCTTGCCAAGGCTGCTGCGGACCCTGTCCCCATGACCCCTGCAAGCCTTATAAGATAGGGGCCTTAATCATTAGAATAGGGTTTGGGGGTATGTTATACTATACTATAAGTATGATATTAAGGAACCCCCCCCAAACCTTATTCTAATTATGAAGGCCCCTACATTACTGTAAGCCTTCAGCCCTCGTCGCCATCCTGAAGCCCGGTGACCCTGCATCCCTAAACCCTAAACCCTAAACCTTAAACCGTAAACCTTAACCGTCTTGCGAGGCTTGAGAGTCCCAGCCGAGCGCTGCACCGTCGTGGAAGACTCCAAGACCTGGGCCCAGTGGAGGGGTTGAAGTTTCTGTTCTTTTTTGCGGTTTCGAGCTGCAGTAGCTTGAGGTCTGTGAATCTTTTTTTCGAAGCGCTTGCAGCTCCCTTGCAAAACATGGGGCCTGAACCCCTGCACCTTTGTCTCTACCGCCCCAGCTCAGGATTGGCTTGGAAGCCGCAAAGGCACCGAGCTTAGCCGTTGTGCCTTTGGTGGTTCTCAGGCGAAATTTTCAGATTCGGAGCTGTTGTCCTTAGTGAGGTTTGTTGTTGGAACAGGGGGAGACATGCAGAGAGAGGGAGAGTTGAGTTTGGATTTTGTATGAGTTTTAGACGGCGGTAGCAGGGCCCCATCGCCTTGAAACCAGTCTCTGCATCAGTTCAGCCGCTCTAAACTGAACGTTGGCTTCTTACTCTGGGCTTCCGGGGACAGAGGGATTCGATACAAAAGTTCAAGGTTGAGCGTGTTTACGGGCGTTGTCGGCATCTTTGTCTGTTGCGGTCTCTCCTTCCCCGTGCTTTCCTTGGAAGCGCACATTGCAAGGCTGCCAAGCACCCCACGACGTTTACATCCTGAGCTTCCCTTCAGCCGCAGATTGGTGAGTGGAACTTGTGGCACTTAGTCACTACGAGTCCGTTCCGGTTTCGACAAGACGAACATGATCATTGTTGCCCTAGCAGGTAGTCCACTGCCCATGTCAGCTCAAGAAGGGTTCACACCCCCTAAACCCCTAAACCCTAAACCCCCTCAAAGCCTCAATGCTTGAGCCGAGGCAGCAGGAATGCGATGCTTCATCACATACACCGACTCCACGCAAGGCCGTGGCTTTTGAAAAGTCTAGGACATTGGGCTTATATGGCGAGCTCCTGGTTTTGGGATCTAGGTCTAGGACATTTTTCAGGTGGGTAGCTACCATTATGGAAGCTTTATAGAAGGTCTATATACGTTATGGAAGCATTATAGAAGCCCTTTCTACCCTAAACTCCCCACCTGTAGTTTCCTTTAACAAACAGTAACACACAGTGCAATAGTGAAACCCCAGCGCTGCCTTTCAGCATAGTAGTTTCCGGAAATTGGGGGTACCGTATTTGGGGCCCTTATGATGAGGATCCTACTATTCATATTAGGGCCCCCTGCTTTCGGAAACCCCCGCATCTCTCCCTCAAGCACCATCTGGGCAAAGTTCACGAAGAGTGCCAGCTACCCACACCCCCAAAAGGATCCAAAAAATAGATCCCCTAATTGGGGACCCTAACTACTAAAGGGTACTTTATAGGAACCCCCTTACAGGATCTATTTTTAGATCCTTTTGGGGGTCTGGGTATCGAGCCTTTCAGATGCCCCCGAAAACTCAAGCCCTCTCTTGCCCTGGTGTCTTTAGGGTTTAGGGTTTAGGGTTTAGGGGTTTAGGGTTTAGGGTTTAGGACAAAAAGGGTTTAGGGTTTAGGGGTATAG